AGTCATGGATTGGATTATTTTGCGCAACAAAAAATCATCCGGCTAAAGGATCGATACTTTTAACTATCGTTATCAAATTATTTGCCAGAAATTATTTTCTAATAAATCGACTTGTTTTTCCAACTTGTGACAATTTATTGGATATCGTAACAATGACGGCTATAAATACCGTATTTCCCGGCTAATAAGTCCACATGGCAAATAGGACGATGTCTATTTTTAGCACTCAAAAAAGGGGTTTTCCATACAGGCCTCCAATAAGACGGGTAGAAAAATTGTGTCCCTGTTGTTCAGTTATGCTGATATGTGCTAATAATTTTATATGTTTAGAAACAGATCATGTTAGTTTGGTAGAATCATACTTACAGAATTAACTATTTTTAATAACTGAGCGGTAAATTTAAGTTGTAAACGGCAATCATTTTGGACAATCTATTAACCCGAATGTTGAAATAATTTTGGAATGTGATAAGTAATACACTGTACGTCCACGGGTTATTTCACAGCTGTGTTTTCCTGTCCCTGTCGTGTTCTGCTGAATCGGCAAAACGAAAGGGTCACAAATCACTTTATCTCGGTGGCCGTGTTTCTCATATTAAAGTAACGATAACCGGTCTGCGATTAAATATCATGATTGGCAGACCCTAAGACCCAAATATAAGGTTACACAAATCATGCTTGAGAAGACTCATGCGAATAAAAACAGACCACATAGAACTAATACTTTCTCAATTAGACGCCCCCTAGAAAAGCGACTTATTGCCGGAAATACGTAATTGTCAATTTTTCGACGTAATGGAAATTAATTTGTAAATTAAAAGCCTCGTAGACGAATGTCGGCAATGTCCACCCACGCGAACGTGCAAATGTGTCGCAACACTATGCGACGTACGGTCGCACAGAATATAAACAATCAAAGTGCCGATCATCATTACAATACGTGAGACAGCGTAAAAAGTCGTTTGAAGATTCCCATAAAACGAAACACCACGATTACGGCGAAAAGTGGCTACTATTCGGAATTATTCGAAAAACAACCGAAAAGGTATTCGAATACTTTGATATTCGAATACATTCGAATATTCGATTCGTTTTGGACAACCCTGCCAACAACTGTATTATGCTTACCTGAGTCTCAACTGCTCCAGTGAACTTTGCCGCCTGAGCCCTCAAGAATGCAGCGTAAGTTGTCAAATCGACTTTAGTGATGCCGTCTCCAAGCTGAAAAATTAATGTAGTTGAATATTTTTTATTTCTACCCAGAAAAGATTTAGAATAGGATTTTTATGATTAACCCAAAGAATGGACGAATGAAACATGAAAAATCACAGCCTCTCATTCGGTTACCAGTCCATGTCGGGTATGAAATTAGTTGGTTATTTGCTTTCGGAAGCATGGACTCGATGGTGGAGGAAGCCAAAACCGTCCAGCGGTTACGTGGACCACCCTCCGACAGGAAATTATTTTCTTTTATGTAGGCTACTCCAGTTCTTTTGTATGCTGAAAATGGTACGCTTCAACGCTTTTAGTATTGATAATCAAGTGTATTCTCTCCAACAAGCAAAATATCAAACGATACAAATGCAAAATATATGCGAATATAATTAAGAACATAATTTCACTGAGGATTGTAACCAAAGCTGATTACCAAGTAGCGACACCCAAGGTTCTGTTAGCTGATTACCGTCAATAAATCAAGTATTTGTTCTAATATTCCAACAATACAAATAGTGTAAAATTCAGACCCCTAGCTTTGAGGTATTCAACATTAAACATCAAACTTTTTAATCACTCAGGAATCAGAATAAGTTATTATTGAAATGCTTAAAAGTCTGGTATAGATTTCCTGACACCACAGACCTGGTTCGATTTTACAAAAAATTAAAAAAATTTATTTACAAAAAAAATTCTATTTTACCAATAACAGCTTTTTCTATCACCCAGACAACATAAAACAAAATATATCACCCATGCTAATATTTCAGGCAAAAATAATACTTTAGCCGATGTCTTGGTGGTTAGTTCATAGGTCATGAACACATTCAGGATGCAGGTTGTAGATCGGGTATGGGTAAGATTCTTGGACCAGGAGCCAAAATATTGCCCACCTGGCGGGCCATGTAAGTTTGACATTAAAAGTTACATTTTATGAACAATATTTACAGTGTTACCTGAGCATAAGTGGAAAACAAATAAACCTCATGTCAAAACTAAATTTAATCGCAATCTCAGTAAAAACTATTTTTCAGCTGAAACATCAAATCTTGGTTTTAGTTTGGCTGTGGCAGCATCAGTCGGACCAGATTGAATTACTCAACGAGTCGGATTTGGCCTGCGGGCCGTACTTTGCCCATGTCTAGTCTAGCCAATGATATCGTCACTCAAGTTCTCAACCCTAGTCCAGGCCATTTATGAACTTTACGGAACGCTTCACTGTCAGAAATCAATGAAATGTGACAGAATAATGTTATTCAAACTAGTATTTGCCAATGCTGCCATTTCATGCGTCTGTGATTCCATGATTTACCACCCGACAAAAAACATTTTTTAGAAATTTTAAATTTCTAGGAAATATTACTAAAATAACGAATGTTCCGTAATGGACATGCTTCACTTGGTAATGCAGTAATGTACATTCATGCAGAAATAAAAAATAACGAAAAATATGCCGCATCCCTTATCATGCCTTTCATACCTCTGACTGTGGCCGTCGATATGATGAGAAAAAAACAAGAATTAGCTTTGCAAACTGAACTAGAGAACTAGAGTTTGATACCCAGCATGTCCATGAAGCATGATAACCTATCAGGGGTTCTCAACCTTTTTTCTGTCAAGTACCCTCCGAGTCACGAAACAATCAACACGAACCCCCGGTAATCAGACACGAACAAAATTGTGATATATTGCCTAACAATTTGTTGCACAAACAATTTATTGCCCATATCTAACTAAATTAAATCGTCGTGTTGATATTATTGCCCTTGTCATCTGCCTAACTATTGAATTCTTAAAAGCTCTCCCAAGTTTCAATAAGCATAATCGCTTTCTCCAGTGCTCGAAAAACGCTGCCTTAGAGATTTCAGTTTGTCTGCAAAGCGGTGAACTTCACATTTTTGCGTCACAATCGCAACAACTCAAGATCAGAGAAAATCTACGTTTCAAGTGACATGCATTTTTCTCTGGTAGTAATATGGGACATTAAAAACAGCAACACACAAAACTCGACTGCCTTTCAAGTACCCCTGGAAATCTTCTCGTGAACCCCTGGGGTTTCGCGAACCCCAGACCTATTAGGTCAGGGGTGTGCAACCTGCAGCCAACAGGCCAAATGTGACCCACAAGAAAAAAATAAGCGACCCGCGAAGAAATGCTGCCAAAATGGCTGATGGGCTAGATCAGTGGTCGGCAACCACCGGGCCGCGGCCCATCGCCGGTCCGCGGAAAGGTTACTACCGGTCCACAGAGAGGTGACACAAAAACGGACAATGCCGTAATGAAACCTCAACAATCTGACCACAAACCACACGACTAAAAAACAGCACCCAACAGTACACCAGACAAACACAACACCAGGGGTCGGAAAAAATGCGGCCCGCGAACTAATTTGTTGCGGCCCTTGAACGACCCGACATTTAATAAATAAAACAAAAATTAATCCCAAATTTATTATTGTCTCTACACGGATTTATGTGGTGACAAGTGCTGCTGTACGGAGCTTTTTATGTTTTAAGGAGCGTCAGTTGTATGTCGTTTTTTCGATTTTTAAAATTTGAAATTGTCTAAAAAACAGAGCGACGTGGGTCGAGCATTCCAAAGTGCTTGAACGGAAAAATAATTTTCTTTCTTGCGCATTCCGAAACCGGTTTGCTCGATATGCCCAGTCAGCATCGCAGTTGTTAAGGATTTCAATGTTAAACTCGTTACGAAACGAGTCGACGAAAATTCGACCACGAGACCCGGGACTGCGCCACAGCTCATCTGTGCGACAGTGCAAAACGTGTAATGTGCACGTTCGGAAGAACTTATGGCCTTGAGCAGCTTTATCTAAAATGCATTACACTTAGATTAAATTTTGTACTCGCTTGTCAGATCATCATTTGGACGACGATTTGCCATATTAACATCATCTTTCACATTGATAATAAGTACATAAAAACAATGTATTGTTGGATAATAAAAAAACGCCACATATACATCTCATTGGGGCAGGCTTCTAACACAGCAATAGGAGGGTAGCGATGCGAATGTGCCATAATTTGAAGTTTAATTATGGTAGCGATTGTTCGAAGGCGGAAATATTGCGGCCCGCGCGCTACCGGAAATGTTTATATTTGGCCCGCAAGTAGGCCTACATGAAGTTTGCCGACCACTGCATAACACTATTGAGCAACATGTCTGATTTCATAAATAATTGTCATGTCGGTATGTCGCAATAATGCTGAGTCAATTGTTTTCTCTACGCCCGTATAAGAATGTCTCTCATCAGTCCGACTAAGATTTCCCCAACAAAACGATACAGGCATTGTTAACTTTCCCGAAATCTTAATGTGAGGCCTGGTTTTCAATATTGATAACTACAAAAACGAAATATCGAAATAGGCTTGGAAGTAAGAGACACGTTATGTGTGTCAATGTCGACCATATCTCGAATATGGGAACAGTTAATGACCATCAAACAAATACAGACATCACATTAAATAGCATCACCGTCGTTTTTAGTATATTGTCAACATAAATTTCCTAATGCGTATAATTTATTGCATAGGCTTAGTTCGTTTGTAAAAAAGTTTGGTCAAGCTTCACCGGTCCGTCACTTGAAAAAGGTTGCCGACCACTGGGCTAGATAATATATTGTTCTGGCATGTTGTGTCGAATCTAATTTCACAGGCTGTTCCCAGAATATTTAGTTTTAAAGTGTTACAAGTCTCCTATAAATCTGTAATTTTTAACAAAATTTAATCCCACAAGTTGTGTTTCCCTGTCAGCACAATTCCACTCACCTTTCCCAAATAATCATTGAAATCAATGTTGTCAAGTCCTGACTCCATCAAGCCTAACAAATTCTCCTGGTTTTCTTCGGTGTAGATTCTAAGATAAATGAGAGTTTAGATTCTGAGGAGTTTTGTTTGTAAAAGGTAGCATCCTATCTTTTTCCAACTTTAAATTAGCGCGAAAGTAGGGCAAGGTACGGCCTGTCAAAGCATTTTGTACACCCCCTACTCTGGGAGGAAGTTAGGAAAATTTTTACAATCACCCAACCCTAAAACTCCCGAACTGAGGGTAGACAAAAATTTTGCCTCCAACGAAACCAAGTATGTTGCAAACCGAACAATCTACAATGCATAATGGCCATACGTGTGGTAAAAAAGAGTGCGAGCTTACTGGTAGGGAAATATCCCCGGTTACCCAAAGACCCAAAGCAATGCCATATACAGGGCTGCCATAACGTCCTTATTTCTAAGAAATGTCCTTATTTTGACATGTGTCCTTAATTTTGTTTCATATCAGAGGTAGAGGTTTTAATATCAGGCACTTAGATTGGTCAATTCGAATGATTGATTTGCTATAAATAATATCAGAACCCCATTACTTACTACGCGCATTCATGCCATAAGTGAAAATGAACTCAAAAAGTGAGATGGAACAGACCGTTTCTGAGAATAAAGAACTGCTGGTGCAAATCCTTTCTTGTGTGAAGTATGGTTAGACACGAGTCGCACTGGCATGGTTACATTTCATTCTTTGTTATCTTATTATTGTTTTCCTTATTTTCTTATTTTTAGGTTCATATGACAGACATGGCCATATACAAAATACTTACACTATTTCGGATAGATCGATGTCATTTGTAGCCTTGTCGACTTCCGCTTGTAGTTCATCCGTTTTGTGACGTAACATTTGTTAAGTACTCTGTGATGTTCAGGACATATTCCAACTTAAAAGTTTCGTACGCAGAAGCGTCATTTTCACAAGAACTGAAAATTAATTAGAGAATTAGTCAAGCATGACATGGAATTTCAAGCAAATTTAAAACGAGAATATCGGTCGGAGACCGAAGACTTATCGATCGAAACTGCGGTTTCGATTCATGACTCTATAGTGACACCGCGTGTCCCATCACTAATTAATTAATAACTCGCTAATTATACGACATAATTCATCCAAAATCAATAGGCTTCTGGTCCGAGATATGATGAATGCACATGCAACATTTGGAGCAGATTCAACCATGCCTTCATGAGATATCGAGTGCATCTAACAGACAAACAGACAAATATCTATCAACATACTTACCGATCTAAAGATCGATAAGTAACAAGTTGATCCCAAGGCCGCGCAGTTGGCCTAAGCTTTAAGAAAACCAGCCATGGAACCTCTTACCGTATGCAGGTTCAAACCGTGCGGGGAATAATTTGTGCAAGAGGACGGTTAGGCTTATTGACATCATAGCATAGTTCACAACCACCCTGAGTGAGGCGCATGGGACTTGAACTCCAGTTGAAACTCAAAATAATTGTTAACTAATGGTTCACACAAAATCTACACTTCAGTAGGCTATAGGGATTCTCAACCATTATTCTAAATAACACAACATTTTAAAACTTATGCAATGCGCAGCAGAACGAAAGTACTGCGCGGGGATTCTCGTCCAGATGCCCGGTCGCGCAGCTTAGAGGGAACATTGTCTATGACCTCTTGGCAAAAAAAAATGCGGAGACTGCATATTCCAGTGGATTGTATATGAGCTCCCCCCTCCCCCCACCAACAAATAAATCCCATGTCGACCCAGTTATCAAACAAATTATCAACTTTTTTGAATGTATCAACTAGTCAAAGGAAAAAAAATGTTTGATCCAACTTTTCCACAATCGACACAAAACAAACTATAACTTACTTCAAAATGTCAACCAGCCCAAGACTGACACCTTCTGGCAGACCAAGAGTGCTTTCGAGATTTATTCCGGATACGTTTTCGACAACCTGGAAATGGAATAAAATATGAAAGTCATTCATTTAAGAAAAGGAAACTTTATCCAAAGTTGGCCCAACAATACAAAATAAGAATCAAGATTAACAAAGACTAAATCGAGACTTGAAGCAGCATACGTCAATATGAATATAAAGCATCTACGAAACACTAAATTCCAAAAAGGAATAACTGCGTGTGCTAACCATGTCTAGGGAGCTGTCAGAAATTAAAGCGACTCCGAAGCAATTGATATTTTTTGAGAACTCCCGAAGTATGTGAATCAACATGGCGGACACCACAATATAGTATAAGTACCAGGTTGGGGGTTAGGCCATAATTTTATTCCAATTTTTCGTATTTACGTTCTATTACGAGTTCAGGGACTAGCCAAGTGACTGCCGTAGTATTTATACCTGGAAGTATGGCCTACCTCAGGGTGGTCCAAGGTTGTCGGCTCCGCGGGCCACAATATTATTTTTGCATTGTTCGCGAGCCACAATAGTGCCAAGAATTTGTAAACAGTGCAATACAAAACAAACACTTTTATTTTGCGAACACATAGTTATCAGGCATAGCCGTTCTAGACTAATAGAATCCGCATTCCATTTACTAGTTTTACATGATGCCAAAATTGTTAGCATATATTCCCGACCAAAAAGTTAGATAGCCAGGTAACAATTTAGACTGCCAAGCACATCATTCAACTTCGCTAGTTTTCCCAGCTAGCCATAACACTATTTAATTCAGTAACATCAGTGATGACAATATGTCAAGAGATTTTTCTGATTAATTTTATGACAAAACAACACGAAATGCGATTTTTTGATTACTCTCCGAATGTGACGCGGGCCACAGATAATGAAGCAGCGGGCCACATGTTTTGACCACCCTGGCCTACTCTAACCAGGTACACATACTTCGCTCCGATGTTTGCCATCTTGGTTCACATACTTCGGGAGTACCATTTTTCGTATAATCACTGCCATGAAAACCTGCCTAGTACATAAGGTAATGGTGCAATATAGGAAAAGGTAGTAAAATATCGGGCTCCACCATAGGACTAAACACAAAAAATATATAACTGTAGTAATAACTTTCTAGCGCCTTTTTCCATTTTCAAATACTGAAAATTTCTCAATCATTTGGTCCATAAAGTGAGAGAAAAGTGATTTTTTCAGTACAACAACAACAGTAGTTCCTAACAAGAACAATAATTCAGCAAATAATCCATCCACCAAGGTTTCCATTAAGCCTCTCTCCAAACAAAAAATTAAAATCCCCTCTCTTCTCATGCTCACCAGCAAGGCTTCATATTTTGGTTTCTCCAGCCCCTGACATCCGTAGCGTTCCCCGTGTCCTCCGATAGTGAACATCACAACGACAAGAATCATCAACAACCAGGAGAAAATGAACGAGAATCCAACGCCACTGAAATTAAAACAATGTTAATAAAAAGATTGTACGAAACAAAAAGTCCCCGCCAATGAGTATTTTTCTATCATAAAATGTCCTCCCTCTGAAATATTACATACCGGTACATCAAAATTCTTCCCTCAGACAATTTCCCCCAGAACAGTCCTCACGCAGTAGAATTCACCCAGTAAAACACCCCCTATGAAACATACCATGCAGAAAAATTCGTTTTTCAGGAAATTTCCATAGGATAGTGTGTTTAAGGATAACTATATTAACTTATCGTTAAACCAGGGATGTGCAACCCGGGGCCCGCAAGAAAAATTTTCGCAACCCCCGGCAAGTGCCAATTTTGAATATTAAGTATTGCAGTTTTTAATTTAGTCTAATCTGGCATGTGAGAGTAATTCCAATCCCTTTGTATTGCAAAGACTGTACCTGAGTCCAATTTATTATCTATGCCTATAACGTTAAAATGCCGTAACAGCCAACAGGTTAAAAGGGAACAACACAACATGTCATAAGATTGGTACTCCCATATTGTGCGTACCAGGTTAGGGTTAGGCCATAATTTTATCTTGATTCGGGGACTGTCTGTGTAAGCCAAGTGAATATACCCCATGCCCATAGGTTCCAGTCCCTTTATACAACTTGATGTAGGCGAACAAAATTGTGTACCTCTATATTGATACACATACTTCTGGAGTGCCCTAAGATTTTGCTCAAAATTTTTGCGCAACTACAGGAAAGTTTAAATGAAGGTTGGGGGCGGTTTCACCAAGTTACTTGTGAATGTATTGAAGATTGCACACCTCTGCTTTAAACCATTGTACTATGAGGGCTACTTACACCATGAGCATTATTCCACCACAGTTAGACGCACAGCCTCTCTGTGAAGGAGCGACATCACGACTGTTTCCACAAACTCCCAACACCATTCCCAGCAAGTAACAGAAGACAATCCAAGCCAGCATACATCCAAGAACAATGCCTGCGATATACCTGGGGAGTATATAAAAAAGATTTGGTTAGGTTTTCTTAAAACTGGCGGTTCTGCATGCTGAAGGGACCACAGAGCCGTTCTCTAGTGCCAATAAAAAACGTCTTCATTGGCGAAGACTACATTACCACATATCTCACATATACGTCGAGTTGAAAACTCGAAAAATAAGTTGCCAAACTAGGGTGTTGGCTTATACGTGCATAACTATGATTCCGTTAAATTAATTCCAACAGCTACAACTTGAATTTGCTGTGATAGGTACAGCGTGTTACAATTTGTAGAGTCAGCTTACAAATGAAATTTGGTGCTCCACAAGTATGCGCACCAAGATGTCGCACAACCTGAATCCTAACTGGTACACACATACTATGTTCAGGTTGTGCGCCATCTTGGTGCGCATACTTCTGGAGGTCCTGAAATTTTATAAATTCAATGTTTTAGGGGGGTTGACTCATATGCGAGGCTATATAGAAAGTAAATTGACAGTGACTTGCTAATTCTTTGAACTCATTGCACAGCATTCCACACAGTATTTGAACCTTTCTATCATTGCAGGATAATCAGAGGTACGGTGACGCCGTCTTCCTAACGCTTAGCATGATGCGCCAAGTAGCTTAATACAAATCAGATCAGTGAGTGCTTGCCTTGCTTAAAGCAAAAGACATGAATAAAAAACTTACCTATACTGATCAAAATTATCGTCATAGACGTTGAAAGCGTCGGTAATCGTGGTCTGTAGGTTGACAACTTGCTGATCAATTTCGTCAAATTTATCCGTGGGAAGGTTGGATGATATGTCGGCCATCGTCGAATTCGCTTCATCCAAAGCACTTACTGCACCTAAGTGATTTTAATAATGAGTGTTACGCAGAGCAAGGTTTTAGATAAGTACATAGAGGGGCAGCATCTTGCTATTTACTGTACAAAAACAGAAAGACAAGTTGTGAACAACGACGAAATTGCTTAATAAACCAGCGCAACTTCTGCTTCTACAAAGCAATTGAGACGGCAGAACAACAACAAAACAACGAATTTCTCCAGGACTGGCAAGTTGGAAAAACAACTGCACTATGCTATCAGATATCCATACTCACTTTCACTGGCTGCCTTGGTCTGATCTGTAGTTGTACTTGGAATGTTATTTATCTCATTTGTGACGTTCTGTTGCAATTCTGTGAGATTGTAGCCAGATAGCTGATCATTGACGCCATCCAACTCATTTGTTAAATCATCCAGCTATGAAAAATAAAAACTCCAGTAAATTTTAGCTATTGGCTTCTGAGTGAGTGCCCGCAACTTTGCTCAGAGATGAGTCTACTTTATGTCTGAGTGAGTGCCGTAACTTTGTTCAGAGATAAGTTTTTTCACTTCAGAGTGAGTGCTCATAACTTTGCTCAGAGATGAGTCTCCTTTACTTCAGAGTGAGGCCCGTAACTTTGCCCAGAGATGAGTCTCCTTTACTTCTGAGTGAGTGCCCGTAACTTTGCCCAGAGATGAGTCTCCTTTACTTTTGAGTGAGTGCCCGTAACTTTGCTCAGAGATGAGTCTCCTTTACTTCTGAGTAAGTGCATGTAATTTTGCTCAGAGATGAGTCTCCTTTACTTCTGAGTAAGTGCATGTAACTTTGCTCAGAGATGAGTCTCCTTTACTTCTGAGTAAGTGCCTGTAACTTTACTCAGAGATGAGTCTTCTTTACTTCTGAGTGAGTGCCCGTAACTTTACTCAGAGATGAGTCTCCTTTACTTCTGAGTAAGTGCATGTAAATTTGCTCAGAGATGAGTCTCCTTTACTTCTGAGTAAGTGCCCGTAACTTTGCTCAGAGATGAGTCTCTTACTTCTGAGTGAGTGCCCGTAACTTTACTCAGAGATTAGTCTCCTTTACTTCTGAGTGAGCGCCCGTAACTTTACTCAGAGATGAGTCTCCTTTACTTCTGAGTAAGTGCCCGTAACTTTACTCAGAGATGAGTCTCCTTTACTTCTGAGTAAGTGCATGTAACTCTGCTCAGTGATGAGTCCCGTTTACTTTACAAAGGCAAGAGTCTACTTTTCCTCTGAGTTAGTATTTTTTCTCAGAGACAGATGACTATCCTTTGCCTCAGATGAAGTGAGTGCTAGTAATTTTGCTCAAAGAGAGAAGAGTGTGTTAAAGTTACAAGCAATTCCTCATAACAAAATGAGTATACTTACGTCCGTCACATTAAATCCGACAGTCAAATTAGTTCTGCTCTGATAAACCGCTCTGCACTCAAGGTCGTCGGTACAGGTTTCGTTTAATTCCGTTTCCATTTTAGTCTGAAGATCAGTCAGGCTTTTATCGACAGTGTCCATACCAGTCGATAATGCTCCGAGCGAATTGGTAACGGCGTTAATAGCAGCGAGTGATTTGTCAACCTCTATAATGAGGATATAAGGATTTTATTATAGTTTCTATACTATTATGAACAGGGTTTGTGCAAGCTTCACCACTGATATATAAAAAGATACTATTCATGGAAGAGCTGAAATGTTTTTTGAAGCGACTAATTCGACCTAATTTTTGACACTCAGGATATGATTCCCATATTTATACTTGTCGTGCAACGAACATCATAATACGAACAAAATAAAAACAAATAAATTTTTGGAATAAAGTAACCTTGGATAGCTTTATCCATTTCCTCCAAAGTTGGTTGAGCAATCATCTCAATTTCAGCTTGTAGAGGAACGCCGACACTGACGCCAAAATCTAAAAGTCAAAACAAGATGAAATTTATTAATTGGGCTCTGACAGGTGACAGCAGTGTTCAATAACAATAATATGCAAGTACATGTGGATGAATAGGATTTTTTTTTATATGCTTCTGTCTGATTGGTCAGGTCACTGTTGGGGAAGTGAACAAGAAAGTCACACTCAAAGAAACAACCTCTGAGCATTTTACACATTTCCCCAGTCACAATGTATATTGAAGCAATCAGAATGCTATAATATTTATGTGACTGGGTTTTTATTTCAGCTGAATTTAATCCAAAGGCTAAGTGGATACATAACCATTGGGAATGAGTATGACAGCTTAGTGTTGTTTCAAAATCGTTCAAAGTCGATAGCAGTCCATTACATTCAATTTATCTACCTAAATTTTATTATTATTTAAGTTGTTCACAGATCCCTTCAGCAATTATGTGTTTTCTTAAAGCATTGCCCGATTCTGAATTGTCTTTTGTGTAGGTGTTTTATTCCTTTTTGATGGGTGGGCTCGTACTTTTACGGTTTTCAACTATATTTTATTACGCTCTTCTTCCAGGTATCTCTGCATTTTGTTTGTCTGTCTATTTTTTGTGTTGTTTTGTTTTTATGTCAGAGTCCCGAAATAAATGATTGATTGATGATTCAAAATAATTTGCTCAAATAATTTTCAGATACCGGTACTAAAAGATTAAATGTGAGTGTGTGTGTGTTAGAATTTATATGACATAGGATTTTCATATTTAACCGAGGACAGATTTAGGTGCTCCCAAAGTAAGTGAACCAAGATGGCGGACATCGGAACGTAGTATGTGTACCAAGTTAGTGTTAGGCCATAATTTCAAGTACAAATACTACTGGTGTCACTTGGCTAATACTCGTAATAAAAATCATAGTAGGCCTAAAATAGGGAAAATTGGAATAAAATTATGGCCTAACCCTAACCTGGTGCGCATACTACGTTCCAGTGTCTGCCATCTTGGTTCATATATTTCGGAAGTACCCAGATTAATTATATGGCGAATTCTTGTTAGGTTACCAGTCATTGTTGGGTACAGGAAAGATAATCAATTATTTGTTACAGATGCATGGACTTACAAGAAACGTAGTATCTCTGCGCTTATTAATAACCGCTTGTCCGAAGCCTTCTTTTGAGTGAAAAGGTTTCCCCACGCTACAGAAGGACATTCTAAATGCTATAGCAAATAGGAAAGACCCTGGCCCTGTCTAAAAACACAGTGACTTCATGTGTATCAGTTGCCATCCTTACTGAGAACAGTGAACCCTAGTAAATTAAAGCTTATTTCCAATTCCCATAGGATGCAATGAATTTGATTCCAATCCTGATCCTGGTATTAAGTCTAATGCTTTGCCCAACCGCTATGCACAAGACTAGGCCTAAAAGGTGGTCGTCGGCTCCACAAAATTATTTTTGAAATGTTCGCGGGCCACAATAGTGCCAAGAATACGTAAACAGTGTAATACAAAACAAACACTTCTATTGTTTAAACAAATTGATCAGTATCTGTCATTTATCAGAGCAACCCATGTAAAAATCACCAAAAAAACTTACGAAAACGTGCAAAAGTTTTTCTATACCTTCATACAGTGTAAGATTTCAAACTTATCAACAATTGTGAATGCCAAGCAAATCATTCGACTTGACTGGTCACCTCAGCTAGCCATAACACAGTCAATTAAGTGACGTAATGTAATAGGTTTAGTTTAGTGATGTAAAAATATGTCAAACGATTTTCCTGGTTGATTTTGTGACGAAACAACGCAAAATGCGATTTTTCGATTCATCTCCGAATGTCAAGGGGGCCACAGATAATGAAGCACCGGGCCACATTTGACCCGCGGGCCGGGGTTTGGACCACCCTGGCCTAGAACATTGGTTCTCAACCACTGAGCCACAGAAGCATTTTGAAGTGGGCCATAGTGCTATAAAAATTAGTTTTATTTATGTCACAATAGTTAATTTTGATTGTGGCAGCAATGGATGATGATGCTGTTTTCTGTTACTTAGTGGTAATTCCCATTTTATTTATAAACATTAAAGTGTCCATTTTCACAGAAGGATCTCAATTTTTCTTGTAGTTTTCTCTGTGCAAAAAAAATTTAACAAGCCACAAGAATTTTTGGGCAACAAAAATGGGCCATGAAAAAAGGGGTTGAGAACCACCGGCCTAGAAGAAGTTTCTTCTTGTTTATAGCCTTGGTAAGAGAGAGAGGAAAAGTATCATTCGCAATTATACACACCTTCCACAAGAGGGCGCACATTGTTATCGACAGTAGCATATTCGTCTGAGATGTACTGGATTTGCCTTGGGACCAATTTCAAATATTCAGATGTATCGCCAAGTAACGTTGTCATTTTCACCGGCGCTGTGTCGACTACGTCTGTTATCCATTCGTTTGTTAGGAAAACAAAGACAGTGGGAACCCTGAAAAGTTGAAATGATTAAAAATGAAATTGGAAATCATTTTTTTGGCTAGCGGAGTTGACAGGACATCTTGTTCTTAGGTAAAACTATGATATGTATAATTGGTTAAAATATTTAAATAATAATAATATTGATAAATATGTTGTTCTTTTTCTGGAGAGGAAAGAGATATAATGGTTTAAGTGTATGCAGAAATTAAATTTGTTAAAAATAATACATTATTAGCACATAATTATGTGGGGTGTCCAAGTCTTGAAAATATTTTTAGATTGTAAAGGAAATTTATCGAAACCATAAATTATTTTGGCCTTCACAGATGTATTACCGTACATGAAGTAAAAATACCTAAACAATTACTGATTAAAAAAACAATAAACCTGGTTAAGATATATTGAAAACTGACATCATAACAAAGTTGAAATTGTAAAGGAACTTTATGGACACCATGTATATTTTCCTGACAAAAAGTCTAAGCAGACATTCATTAAATGAACTAGTTGAATTCTTAAAAAAGCTATTTTTGGGATTTCACCTGACAATATATGCAGAGCTGGTCTCGTGAGACCGAACAAAAGAATAAATGTTTCTCCATATTGTGTCTTCAAACAACGCAAACAGCTTTTCATAATATTAGTTTATGTTGTCAAAAGAACTTTTGTTGAAGTTTATTTTGTTAAGTCGTTACGGAAAAGTGCTTAGTCAGCATAATTGAGTATCTATTATGTAAAATTTTCGTTTAAGTCTAACATGGGCAAACCACGCCGCGAGCCAAAACCTGCTTGTTGGGTAATTCGATCTGACCCGCCCGATGCTGCCACAACCAAACTGAAAACAAATTTTGATGTTTTAGCTAAAAAATAGCCCAAGGAATTTGTTAAGATTGCAATTAAATTTAGTTTGTTTTCGACTTTCGCTTTCGTAACCTTAAAAAAGTCCTAGCCATGTTCTGTTATCAGATTGGCCGAATTTTTTTAAATAAACGAGGGTTACAAATTAAAAATGGTCCTCGACTAAACCATTTTCCGAATGAATAGGTATTCTAAAAATCAAGAATTTACTTTACCAGTTTGGGCATGTCTAATTAAGCACTGAAAGTATCATATCTCCAAAAGATGCGAAACCCTATTGTGATGCGATAGACTATATCGTTATAACTTTTAATTGTTTAGTTCAGTCATATATTATGACATATATAAGGTTTTGATTGTTTAGTCCAGTCGTACATTGTGACATATACAAAGGCTTTTTAAGAAAGCATGACCTGTCTTCATTGACTGGACGACTTACCGCCTAAAAAACAAACAATGACTTGAAAATTCATTTAATGTCAATTTTGGAAAAAAGAAAAGAGGGAGGAGTGGAATGGTTACGCACACATTCAGTCCAAGATCGAAGAGACTAAATGTCTGAATGATAATGCTATGTAATCAGCTGTGACACCTTTCTTTACCAAAGGGTTGTACTAAGTGGGTTGCCAAACTTTTTCCAAGCAACTCAAAATTTTAAAAAATATTATTTTTTTAAATCGCGCGACCCAAGCATATGCTTAATAAATACTAGCAGATAGGCAGATGTAGTGCCTTATATGGTCACAAAATTAACTGACTAATGGGAAATAACCATATGGTGATTATGATATATCTTGACTGAGCGTGATGCAAACAAACAAACTCATGAAAGGGTAGATAGGGACCGATGGTGAGTGCATTCCTAACGCTCAGCACACTGGTTCTCGACCAGTGGGCCGTGGCCCATAGTCGGGCCATATAGACATTATCCAGTGGGCCACAAGCCTATTAAAAATTACTATGGTCGGATATTAAAAGGTTTAGCTTCATTTGCGTCATTATAGTCAAATTTTCATGGTTGTAGCAATGAACGATGCTGCTGCTTTTCATTCTAATTATTATCAAAGAGTTAAAGTATTTATTTTTGCAAAAATACTCTCGTTTTTTTTTCTGTAGTTTTTCTTTTGCATGAGAAAGTCGGCCACAAAACTTTCATGATACGAAAGTGCGCCACGAAATAAAAAAGGTTGAGAACCAATGGCTAAGCACAACACACCAATCGTTTCCTTTCCGTGGTTTATAAAAGGCCAAAGTCGAAAGAACATAAACTTTATTTTATTGTCAGTTTTTTCTAAGAAAACCAGCCAATAATAAGTAAATAGTTTTATTAAATGGAAAAGCAAACAACATAAAACTTCAATTTCCTGGAAGAATTTCCACAAAATAGTTAAACTGTCAATCAATCCAAAATAGTCTGGTATAAAAGCATTTGGTTTAATTATAAAGCATTTTTTGTGAAAATCACTCAGAGGTCTCATCTCTGAGTAAATTTTTGGGCACTCACTCAGTAGTAAATGGGGACTCTTATCTGGTTAAAGTGTTTGGCACTCACTCAGAAATAAGAGACTCATTTTTGAGTAAAGTTATGTGCACTCAATCAGAAGTAAAAGAGACTCATCTCTCGGAGTGGAGTTGCGGGAACTCACTCAGAAGTAAAGGAGACTCATCTCTCTGAGTGAAGTTACAGGAACTCACTCAGAAGTAAAGGAGACTCATCTCTCTGAGTGAAGTTATGGGCACTCACATTGAATTATTAATTTCCTTTAAGTTTGATTTAACATAATCACCAGGAAATTCCTGCGGTTAATAATAACTAACGACAAGTGTAACAAATGTAACTAACGTGTAACAGACAGACACTGACATAATTTATCAAAATATTATGACAAGCGCCATGCGTCCTAAAACTATAAGCAAATATTTATCTGGTCATTAGGTACCAGTTCCGTGAATTAGTCATACCATAGTTTGAATAAAAATTCAGATTAGGCAAACTCATCAAAACTAGTCTTATCATGTATCACATCAAGCTATTGTGAAAGCTCAAACATTCTATAATATATTGCTTAGTAGGTAATTTTAATATCAGGGTCTTTCCAATTTTTACTTTTAGGGAGAGTTTGTAACTAATAAATTATTGGCAGCTTCAAGTTGCCATGCAACATAGTTATACCTGATGTGATGTCCTATATATAATGCTGATTTTGTCATTTTTATTGTATATGGAGTTAGTTACAATTTCGATTAATTTTTAGGAAAGGATTATAATAACCCTGTACAAGTAGCCACTGATATATAACAATATGTAAGAAACTGACATTATCTGAAAAATTTCCGAGTCCCGCATTGCTCACCCAATTTATCACACTGTGTGTGAGGTGGGGCACGGTATTTAAACCAGAGGCAGAGATCATATGCGATTCCAACACATTTAATAGAGTCCAATGCTAAAGGGGTGTATTTATTAATGAGGTCGAAAACCCATTGCATAGGTCATCTGCTAACTTGGATTGGCGCATCATGCTAAGAGTTAGGAATATGCTTGCCACCTCTGATTACCCTCAATGGGTTTGCAGGTTTGAATCCCATGAGAGATAGTTATGAGCAAGGAGATTGGTGGACTCCTCGCCGCCGTAGTGTGGTTCACATGACCGCTTGTAAGTTACGTCTTCTTGCTAACTAATCCCTTATCGACATGGACTGGTAACTGGACAAGGGGACGTGGTTCGCCATTTAATTAAGCCGTCTTATAGATTTTTGTCTCCCCGAGATGAACTTATAGATCCTATTCCATCTCTAGGATTTTGATTTCAACAAATATTTTATTTGTTCTGTGAATCATACAGACTCCGTGGAAACAAAAAAAACAAGGATATCTCTAGAGTACGCAAATAATGTGGTATGACGCTTCCTCGAGTGGATACAATTTGTATTTTAAGGGTTCAATTAAATTTGTTTCATTTCGTTGACTAAATAAATATTGAAATCTTATTTCGCTTGTGATTGTCAATCTAAATATTTCTTAACACATTCTGAACCGGACATGGGTAAACTACAGCCCGTGGGCCAAATCGGGCTCATTGGTTAATTCAATCTGGTTCGCCTGATGCTGCCAAAACTGAACTAAAACCAAATTTTCATGTTTAACTTAAAAATGGCTCAAGGATTTTATCGGGATTGCGATTAATTACTTATTGTTTACCACTTTTGCTTTTGTAACACTGTAAATTTTGTTCATGAAATGTTACTTTTTACGTCACACTTACATGGCCCGCTTGTTAAGGTGGGCAAAATTGTTGGCCCCTGATACAAAAACCTTGCTCACGTTTTAAACTAATATTTGAATATTGAATAGAATACTATTTTTATAGCAATTGAATTTACTTTTACAAGAAAAATTTGAAACAAGTTTCCGCTTCTTTCATATTGTCAGATATCTTTGGTTGCTTGTATGGGCCTTGTTGAGGCAAAAAGCACAATAAAATGTTATTTCAAAAATCTTGCTTGTTATTCAAAAAATCTTTGCACTGAAGATACTCTAAAGCAGAGGTGTGCAACAGGCGGCCCGCTAGCCACAACCCGCCCGCCAATCTATTTAGTGTGGTCCTTTCCAGGGCTCTGATTTTTCCCATCAAGCATAAAATCCTAATCTGGCAGTTGGTTTGAAAAGGAGCTCACATTGATGAAAATTCATGTTTTAGCTCTTGTGCATTTTTTCCTTAAAGGCTACGCAGTAGCAGCATTGCCTAAATTTTTTGTCCCAGCTAAATGTCTCAAAGAAGTTGATTATAATTATGGCCCGCCGACAAAAAATGTTGCACATTCCTGCTGTAAAGATACTCAACTTGTGGTAATCCTAATCAAGATTATTTTTATGATTAATGTTTCTTTTCTAACTTATCACTCTGATTAAGGCCATGAGGAAGTGGTTATTCATGAGGGAGATGTCAGTATTTCTGAAAAGATTGGAAGCTTTCCACATTGAAAAACTCTTGATGATTTCAATATTTGAGCAAATACTTAGCTCAGCTTTTGACATACATGATTGACGGTGTATTCCTGCTTCAAACAGATTTCGTAATAAAGCAAAATCATAAGTTATAAATCCACTTACAATTTGATATACAAGCGTTACAAGAATACCCACGACAACAAACAATTCAATTGCACCCCCAGCATAGAGCAAATAACAATATGTGCTTCTGGAAGCGTTCATGTGAAGTGTGTGCAAACATTCATTCATATTTCAATACCTCTTGTCATTTTAGTGTAGCCCACAACTTTACTTACAGATGGGCATCCTTTGCTTCTGAGTAAAAGTACATGACTTTGCTTGGAAACAAGTATCTAGGCTTCTTATGATTGCCCGCAACTTTGCCCAAGCATAGGTGACTTTGATCGGAAATGAGTATCTTTTACTCATGAGTGAGTGCATGTAACTTTCCATACTTTGCTTCTGAGTGAGTGTATGTGACTTCTCTTGAAAAAGAACACTCATAAACGCAAGTAAAGCTTGTATAAAATAATTTACTATTGTTTGCATGATTGATTTTCTATTTTAACTAAAAAGGAAGCAATTACATATTTCAATAAGCACAAGGCTAAAGACAAAAATATAGACTGAAATCCTCCTGGTCTGTATTAGCTGAAAAATGTGATCGTCAAGATTTGAATTCGAGACTTTCAACTACCAGATATTATAAAGTGATCTGTCTTTGGTAAAACGAAACGTTACAGAATTATATTTGTGTCAGTGTGCATCAAGCCTCGTGAATCACTCAAATATTCCACTTAGCTATGTTACGCAAACAACCCAAGCAAATACATACGCCAATAAATTATACCAAAACGCCCGTAAAAATGTCGAGAATATTAAACCAACACAGAACCAACAGAAATGAAGCTAAGGGTAACTTTCAGGTTTTAGGAGAATACGTCTAAATTAATTCAAATATTCAAATACTTCAAAATGGGGATTTTTATCATTCAGAGTGATAAAAGACCGGATTACAAAACTTCAGGAATATTGGGGGTATGGTCTTTCCAGAAAATTTATTTTACGATTTTAACAAATTACAATATTTGGCACTTTAGGAATGTGTGTACCAATATGAAGTTAACTATTTTGTTCGCCTACTTTACATCTATTTGAGTAAAGGGACTGAAACCTATGGGCAGGGGGTATATTCACTTGGCTAATACAGACAATTTCCGAACTCGTAATAAGGAAAATTGGAATAATATTATGACCTAACCCTAATCTGGTACACATACTACAAGAGTACCCAATATTCAACAATGTGCGGAAATATATTTCCACGAGCCTAGATTCAAGGTTAAAAACAAAAAATCGAATTGCAGAATACTGATGAAAGATTATCCGCAAAAAATTCAATATTATTATTGCGCATCGTAGTTTCTAGGTAATTGACTATTCGCAAATGAAGAGAGCAATAATCGTACATTACTGTTAAACTGTCACAGTTGGTACATATTTAAACGTAAATATGAATAAAAAAACCTCTAAAACTACAAATAAAAGTTATATAATGAAAAAAAAACTTCACATATCCCAGAGCTTTTAAATAAAGAAACAACTGAAGTTTGAACCAAACAGTCAAAAAGTCTGCATACAGACTGCTATCTGCCAGTTGAGTAGACCTAATTTAGATTTCAAGGTCAGAATGTTTTTACTTATCGATCTTAAGATAAGTAAGTATGTTGATAGGTATTTGTCTGTCTGTATGTCTGTTTGTCTGTGTGTTAGATGCACGCGATATCTCACGAAAGCGAGGTTGAATCTGCTCCAAATTTTGCATATGCATTCATCATAGCTCGGATCAGAAGCCTATTGATTTTGGATGGATTATGTCTTATAATTAGCGAGTTATTAATTAATCAGTGATGAGACACACGATGTCACTATGGAGTAAGACCACTGTTTTTGGGATCCCCTAACCTTCGATCGATAAGTCTTCGGTTTCTAACCGATATTCTAGTTTACTTGTTATTTAGAATACGACTTGAATTTATCAAAAATCCCACATTGCGCAAATAAGAGAAAAGCCAATAAATTTCCCTCAAACCACCATAAAAATGCCAAGAACATTTATCAATCCAATCCCCAAAAAAGAAATATGCTTACAGTAACAGTACAGTAATTATAAGAGGGATCTCTAAATGAAAACAAATTGTTGAATACTCTGAAACAAGATTTTAATTAAATGGAATCGGATGTTTGAATACATCAAAATAGGAATTCTCATTATCTAAAAGAACATGACTCTAAAATAAAGTTATTTAAAAATAGCTATGGCATGTGATTAGAGGCAATATTCGTTTTTTCAAACTTTATAATGAGAAATTCATTAGGCTATAAAAAGGATTTTTAAATTTAATTAAAAAGTTGAATGAATGCGATATAAGAATTTTCAATTTCAATGTTTTAGTATGACTTGAATTTATTAAAAAATCCCACTTTGCCACTTTATGCAAAACAGCGAATACATACGCCAATAAATTTTCATCAAACACTGATAGAATGGACAAGAATATTAAATCCAATCCCCAAAAATAAATATGCTCACAGTAACTTTCAAATTATAAGAGGGATCACTAAACGAAAAAAAAGTGTTGAATACTCTGAAATAAGATTTTAATTATCTAAATATATGACTTTGAAATAAATTTATTTAAAGATTTCTATGACATGTGATACCAGTATAGGGACATTGTTTGTCTCTCCAAAGGTTATATTATTAGAAGGAGATTCATATTCAATTGAATACTTGATTACTTCCGATATTAGAATTTTTATTATTTAGCAAAATATGACTCAAATTAATCAAAATATTCCACTTTATCCAAGAAACTTTATCCAAGGACAAAAACATACGCCAATAAATTTTCATCAGACACTCATAAAAATGCCAAGAATATTTGAGCCTACTCCCAAAAAGAAATATGCTTGAAGAAATATGAATTCTAATTATCTAAAATATGACTTTAAAATAAATTTATTTAAAAATTGCCATGGCATGTGACTAGAGGCAATATTCATCTTTTCAAAATTTTTAATGGGAACTTCATTATAAGAAGGATTTCTGAATTTAATTAAAAACTTGATTACTTTCGATATAAGAATTTTATTATTTAGAATATGGCTTGAATTAATCGAAAATCCCCCTTTGCCACATTATGCAAATAAGTGGGCAAATACATACGCTGATAAAATTTTACCAAACGCTCATAAAAATGCTGCGGATATTAAAAACCACACAAAACCAACAAAATATGCTTACAGTAACTTTCAAATCATAAGTGAGGATGTCTGAAATATATCAAATTGTTTCCCCAGGACAAAACTGAAATCCTATTTCATTCTAAAGCAAAGCAATAAAGAATTAAATCAAACTCACGCCATGAAAGTCGTTAGAATCAGCATTGTGACACAATAGCATTGTCGCCAACAGCTCTTGCTTCGCTTCGTAGATTGTTCGAGACGACCGCCACAATTGTTGCAACAACACCGACAGCAACACATGAAAGAGCCAACGAGCGGTACAAAAACGATGAACAACACTCCGAACACGAGACATGCGATGTAACCGGCTTCAAAACTTGCTGCCTGTATGAAAAAGACCGATATACAAGTTTTGGTACTTCTGAAGTATGTGAACCAAGATGGCGGACACCGTAACGTAGTATGTGTACCAGATTAAGGCTTGGCCATAACTTTATTCCAATTCCCTTATTTTAGTTCTATTACGAGTTCGGGGACAAGCCAGGTGACTTCCGTAGTATTTGTACCTGAAATTATGGCCTAACCTTAACCCAGTACACATCCTATGTTACAGTGTTCGCCGTCTTGGTTCACATACTTCGGGTTTAGTCATAGTGTTGACTAAACTTGTTTCAAATTGTGTCAACTGTTATCTATTTACAATTCAAAGCAATGAATTTATAATGCAGTTCTTAGACGGTGGTCGGTTGCAACTCTTCTATCAGCCCTCTTTCCACTTTCGTTGAGGGCTCAGGACCTTGCTTCATTAAGCAAACTTGCAATTTTTTTTTTTTTTCAGTACTTTTTCCATTTTTAGTTGCGATAAACAAGCGCTCATACACAAAAATCTACTAAGCAGTTACAGGCTTACAGGTATATGATAAAACGTAAATAATAAAACAATTGAACTATTATTAAGAGTTCCCCAAGCATCTGGAGTGTTTCATTGGGAATCTGCCCAGACGAAACCCATAGACCAGAGGTCGGCAACCTTTTGTCGCTCGCGGGCCAAAATTAAGGTTGCAAGTCATTGGCGGGCCGCACATATTTTTAGAGAGTTGAAAAACCGAACGGATGGTACTTTTTATAATAAAAACAAGCAGTGATACATCTCTTGAATAGAATATAGATTTATTTCCTCATTGCATCTCATAAAATTCCATTTGAATATTTTCAGCGTCATTGAACCCTTTGCACTTAGCATCAACTTTTTAGCGTTTTGTTGCCATTTGCTTAATTATAATTAATTTATATGCTCATTAAACGAGTAATTGTGAAATATATAATTGTTAGGTTATAATATAATTTAGTCTAAAGAATATGTTCGTCAAAACGAATGTTTTGTTACTATAATTTAGTGAAGCGTCGCGGGCCGGATTATAGTGCTCCGCAGGCCGTAGGTTGCCGACCCTTACCATAGACTATTAATAAGTGAACTTACATCTTGCCAATTTCCTTGCAGATAGTCCAACGCCCCACTGTCAGAAGCAAAGACTTTTATGATGAAATCTGTAAAAAACACAATTAAGTGAATTTCATAAAATGAGCAAAAACAAGCGGATTTACTAAAAAAAGATATTATTTAGGATACTGGATATGTGTGTTATTAAAATTTTCCAATTTCCGATATTGGACATCACATATCAAGTAGCAAGTCTATGTCAGATTTTAGAAAAATTTTTTTTGGAATATTCAAGAATTAAGTTACCATATTTATAAGCAGAAAAAGCATTAATAAAAACGGAAAACATTCACAAAGAAGAACTGGAAAAGACTCATCTCTGAGCAAAGTTATGGGCACTCAATCAGAAGTAAAGGGGACTCATCTCTGAGCAACATTACGGGCACTCACTCGAAAGTAAAGGAGACGCATCTCTGAGCAAAGTTGCGGGCACTCACTCAAAAATAAAGAAGACTCATCTCTGAGCAAAAGTAACAGACACTCACTCAGAAGTAAAGGAGACTCATCTCTGAGCAAAGTTACAGGCACTCACTCAGACATAAAGGAGACTCATCTCTGAGCAAAGTTACAGGCACTCACTCAGACATAAAGGAGACTCATCCCTGAGCAAAGTTACAGGCACTCACTCAGAACTAAAGGGGTCTCATCTCTGAGCAAAGTTACAGGCACTCACTCAGAACTAAAGGAGACTCATCTCTGAGCAAAGTTACAGGCACTCACTCAGAACTAAAGGAGACTCATCTCTGAGCAAAGTTACAGGCACTCACTCAGACCTAAAGGTAACTCATCTCTGAGAAAAGTTGCAACATTCTAGTGGTCAGGGCTTGGGGCATCTTGGTAAGAATACTTCGGGAGCGCCATGGATTGGGATCGCAATGCCGAAAAAAGGATTCTGTTTCTTCCAAAATTCTTACATGGCAGTGGCTGAGCATTTTTAGAGCCAACAATGCATAATAAAACCTCGTATCAAAAAATGTCGTTCCCTAATCTTACCTGCCAACTCTGAGAAGGGTCTGAACACAACATTGACGAATCCCTGTGCCATGTCAAACAGTCCCTGCATGCTTCCACTGCTTCCTGGCGCGACATCAGATGTGTTGTAATTGCCCTGGCAAGGAATTTTATTTATTACGGGTAAGGAAAGACGTTACTATGGCAGATTCTTAGATAGTATTATAAGCGAGGTGTTCTCCCACTCTTCCACAATTAAGTAAAGTTTGGTTCTCATTACAGTTTGCAGAAATTGAATGAAGACTAGGGCTTTCCAAGCGAACCAAATAATCGAAATCGATCAAATAGCAAATTATTTGAAGCGTTTTTTACAACTCGCTAAATTTTGGTACGAAATGTGCCCCACTACCACTTTTGCACCACGTTTTTCACAAGGCAAGCAAAAACATGTTTCTATCGCTTTCTTTGCTGTAAAAAGGTTTTTATTGCCAGGTGACATGTAATTATATATTTCATGCATGGTCATAACTGAAAAGTTATCGGTAAAGAATCGATTTGTAGCTGTTGAGTTAGTAATCATAGGAACATGGTACAGGACTGGAACACGTATTGGAGGTACAATACCTTTTTTCAATAGAATAAGACGGGGCAGGAAAATCGCGGAATTTTAAAAAAATTGGGATTTAAAATCGGAATCAGGAATTTCCATGCAACGGCTTGTCCGCGTTTGCGCATTCGTTAAAATAGCCCATAAATTATTAAATACACTTAATTTTAAATCAATCCAAATATTCGACTTGCTCTGGACGCCCTGTTTCTAACAAATATTATTTACATTCAATTAAAAATACCTGCAATTATTATATAGCTGGTAATTAAAAACAAGACAGTAACAAACCTTTGGCAAATCTCCGAACATGCTTGTTGAATTTTGTGCCGTAGCCGTCATCACCGTTGCCGCCATGGCAACCACCAAAATAATCCACTTCCCCATAATGATGTCACAAATTACCTCGTTTTTGAATCTCTCTCTCTTGTTTTTATTTTGTTGTTTCTTAGCTCAAATGTAAATTAGTTTATTTTATATATACAGACTGAGAAATAAGTAAAATATTTTCATGGCGAGTCTCATGGCAGATACACTCTTGTGGGGCTACTAAAGTTATTAAAATATAGAAAAAGTCAACAAAATATGTTAGTAAAACGGAATAACATGATCTTTTTTCCACAAAATAACAAGCTTTTGTTATAACATAACTTCTTCAGACAAAACAAGTTAGTTCTCAACTCTCAATCTAACAGCAAATATTCATTTATCATAATGAAGTAAACAAGGAGAAAGGACCTGCAGTTCAGTGCACAAGCCCTGGTACACCCAAAATTTATCAGCCCTTAAAATTAAATTAATCTCTCTCACAATTCAAATTTTTATTCCTTTAGCAATTTCCAAAACCTCAAGGTACTATTTTCCAGTAAACAATATAATATAAGACAAAGAAACCATATAAAACGAAACGAGGCCAAAATAAATCAAAACAAATTATTGTGATCGGGATTTTCCGGCCACTCATCTCGAACCACTGAGCATGAAAACCACTAGATTAAATTAAAGAGAGAAGTAGTCTATTGTATTTGAAGAAAAAACGAACCCGAACAAAATGATCGACATTTCGGGCAAGCATCAGATCTTAGCTGTAAACCACACCTCCCGCAAGGCCTTATAAACTTAGCAACTGATATCTAATGAGGTTATTATCCGAAAAAAAGATATCTTTCAGGTTATGCCATCCAATTTTGCCTTTTTCACCATCATAAAAATACACTTTGTACGAACAATAAAAAGACAACGTAAAAGCCAGTGTGAGGGGGGTCGCAAATACTGGTTAACAAACAGCGAAACTGAAATTTGTAATCTGAGATATTGTTGGAAATCACGTCGCCCTTAAATAATGAAACAGAATTTTATTCGACGTCCAAACAGGTTGACAAGTGGTGATAAGTGCTATTGTCGAATTGCTCATTCATACATGACTGACAAGGAGGCTTGGAGTGGCGTAATGTAAACAAAAACATCGACACTGGAAATACCGGCATGACCAAATACATTGTTTTAATAAAAATCAATGAAATTGTTCTCGAAATTAGGAATTACCAAAATACATACAACAAATTAAAATGCTATAATAGGTTTCATATTGCTTGCTCCAAACTAGGCAATACATAGGAAGAATCTGAGGTACTCCCGTAGTGTGTGTACCAGGTTATTATTTTTATTCCAATTTTCCTTATTCTATTTCTATTAGGAATTCAGGGACTGTCTGTGTTAGCCAAGTGAATATACCCCATGCCCATAACTTTCAGTCCCTTCACACAACTTGATTTAAAGCAGGCAAACAAAATTAGTTACCTCCATATTGGTACACATACTTCTGGAGCGCCAAATCTAAGACGTAGAAAGACACAATATTTTAGGAATTGCTTTAATTTTTCTATTTCGACATGTATCCGAAAATTTCTTACATCTTTGACAAATGGTTTGACTGATGCATTAATAATGAAATGTTTTAATGGATTGTTCCAAACAAGTAACTAGACAAGCAAATGACATTTAATTTTTTCTGCGGTATCAACATTTTCCCACAATCAGGTCAAGTTATTCAACGGAAAAAAAATAAATTCAATGAGATACTAGGTTTTTCAGAAGTCCAAACTATAGCCAAAAGTAACTCAAGAGCAATTCATCAACACAAATGTACAACAATAAAGCACCTGATTCATACATCAGGCACACTGGCTTATAAGGCACACAATCGATTTTTGAGAAAAAAAGGGTATTAGGCTTTTAATATGGTCATCCATAAAATACGGTAATCAATATACCAGTTCGTACCACCATGATAATTGAATTATGTTTGTCTGAGGAAGTCTTGACTCTGATAATACAAAACATCACATTTGTGAAATACATTTCTCTTAGTGTGTAGCAAAATCTTTTTTACTTAGATGAATTTTAAATTCCTAAAAAAATATTTCAAATGATTTGAGAGTCTTGCTGCGCACCGAAAAAAATGTACGACCGAGTTTAAATTTCATTTGGTTCGTTAACATGCTTCGTTAACCCTTTAGTGCTGAATTACTCCACCAATTGTGGTGAAAGGGTTAAAACCATAGAAGACTGAGACAAAGATTGCAACATGTTTAACAGCCAGACTACAAACCACTGACATTCCAAGAGATACAAAAACGTTGGAGAAGAGTCTTTCCACGAAATAATGTCAAATTACTTGTTGGCGCAATAATGTCAGTTTATAAGGTTACTGTCTTGCATTAATTTTGAGAAAAAAAGATAGCGACAACCAGGGATGGCCAATTCGAATAAAGTATTCGAATGTATTCGAATATTTCGTCATTCGAATGTCGGAATTCACGTTCATAAGAATATCGGATATTTGTGTGACGTCACACATTTTCGACGCCGCCTTCAAGACGTTTCCGTTGAATGAAAACATTCTCGATAGAAACTTGCGCGTGATTGTTTTCATCACTCATCAGCGTAACGTGGTATTTAGGCCCGTAAACGCCTTTACGATTGTGTTATTTTCTCTAAAACGAAAATTTTCCACAAATTTGTACCACGATAACGATAACATTTATTTTATTTTTGTACGCGCACGGAATTGTGAATCTGGTAAATACGTTCATTGGCGGCGAGTTTCTAAAGACAACGCAACTTTTTGATTGAAAAGCGGCAATTTAAAATACTGAAAATAAAATCGTAAACAATATTGGTTTTATCGAGGCCCGCGAAAATTTAAAAAACGCTTTTCTAGGCAGTGAAAATCGCAAAATTTCGTGTGCCTCTGGCACACATTGTTTGGTCGGCGTTTAGAAACATATCGTCACTAATTGAGGGCGGGATTTGCCTGATTATCCATTACTTTAAATTGCCGTCGAATATTTTCGTGTTAACACGATACAAGGTTTGAAACGCGACTTTTTCCCGGGTTGTGAGGATGTATATAATATAATTAATCTGAAGTATATTCGATCAATTTTATTGTGATGAAATAAATTTTACCCTGAGATATTACAGCATATTTATGAATTTTTCGAACGGTTTTATCTAAAAATAATCAGAGTGGCAGCATTCCGATCGAGCGGAGTCACTGTTAACAAGTACAGCTAAATATTTGCCGAATTCGCAAAATACGGATCAAAACAATATTTAATCGAACAGTTTACCTCACGTTTTTATTTTTATGACCGCGGATTGCAATGGTATATAAGAGTGGTGAGGATTTTATTTTGTCGACGCAACCGCAGGTTAAATTGAAGACAATTAAATTAATAAAGCAAGACATTTTAAATATGCCCGTGTCGGTCACGAATTCATCACTTTGCACAACAGAAAAATATATATTCGTTGTTATATTATTTGTTGTAAAAGTCGACTCTTTTAACAGGTGGCATAATCGCGGCGATGAATATGTATTTTTAATTTACTGCTAAACTTTATATGTATATTCATTGTATGAAATGAATTATACTCTACACTTAACAGGATTTTATATAATTATTTGAGATTTTTCTAACGGCGATAACGAGTTGGCAAGATTGCAAAAATACGTATTAAAATTAAATACATCAGGCAGTTTATCTCTTAATTTTAGGTCACAGATCGCCGTGGACCGAATAGTAATGTTTTTTTTTGACTAAGAAGAAGCAACCGCGAGTTACGTTGGACACATTAAATTATTATATAAAGATATTTAGAATCTCGTAGTGTCATGGGATTGAATTTTTACGTAACAGAATGATCATTATACGCTGAAAATACGGCTATTTTAATTAACGAGCGAGAAATCGCGGTGGGTGTTTCAGGCGGCCAATGGGAATTTCCGATTTCAAAAATCCTGGCTGCGCGCTGGCAGTGGTGGTCATCTATAGTCTACTAATTTATTTCTAATTCCAAACACAACAATATGGTTCACATAAATTAATATACAAATATACTGGTAGGTAGTAGAATACCTCAGGCTTAAATATTAGAATTTTTAAAGGAACAATGGATTTTCGATTGTTGTTGGCTGTATTGCCAATAAATTTTATTACTCTCAGAAAATATACACAATTATCTGAATACAAGTAGTATTTTTGTCAATAGATTTAGAACTCCTTGGCTATCTTTTCATATGGTCATTTGTACAAAGTGAATAATTTTCATAAATGACTGTGTCACAAGTTGCTATTATTTTTTATTGATAGCTATAAACTATCAATTACTTTGTGTACATATACTGTTGGTTTGTGGCTTTATTCTAATATTTCTATTGAAGCTTATTTCCTATTTTACTGGGTTTTATTAAACTAAAACAAAAATGTGTTATTTTCGATTTTAGAATGTATTCGGAATTCCAGATTCGAAAACATTATTTTAGAATGTATTCGGAATAGTTTAGTATTCGGAAATGGCCATCCCTGGGCCGACAACTCAAAATTCACTCTGAACCGATTCAAATAATTTGCTATCCGATTTGAAATGCCCAGTCATCTTTGCAAGTTGCAACACGCAAAAAATACTGCACTCATTAAAGCTATCTTGTATATTATCCAAGAAAACATATTCGGTCGATTATAATAAAGTACCATCCATGGAAACTGGATCAATACTGACATTTCATGCTGCGACCTCAATAATGTTAAAATCTTTAATTTAAATGTTTCCTGATCAAAGTCCGGATAATTTCACAAAACTATTATTATAGATATTTATCTTTCTAATAAATTGTTGGATATTTTCAATGTATTACTCCTATACAAATAAACTAGTACTTTCTTCTCCCTGGGATTATCACAAAATTCTGTCGTAACAACAGTTACATTGGAAAGTATTGTATAAACTTCCTCCAGACAAAATGACAACAGTGGGATAATACCCCGTAGATAACGATTACAAATTTGTCTCTCATACAAATATAAATACAAAAAACCCGTCTTGTTGTTATTGGGATTATTCTCGTGAAAGGGGTTATTGTGGTATCACAGTGAGTCACGATTTTACAACGTCATAAAACATGACCATATCAGTAAT